GCCGCGCGTCACGACCGGGCCGCGGCCGCCCCACGCCCCGGAAGGACAAGCGGGAGCCGGGAAGATGGCGGCGGCGGCTGCGGGAGGCCCGGCGGGCGGCCCGGTGTGTGTGCTGGTGCTGGGCATGGCCGGCTCCGGGAAAACCACCTTCGTGCAGGTGAGGGGCGGGGGGCCGCGGGGAGCTGCCGGTGGGCCGCGGGGCTTTCCAGCGGGGCCTGACGCCTCCCGTGTTCCCGCAGTGCCTCGCCGCCCACCTGCACAGGCAGCGCTGCCCCCCCTACGTGATCAACCTGGACCCCGCCGTGCACGACCTGCCCTTCCCCGCCAACATCGGTGAGCGCTGTGCCCGGCGGGGCCCGGCCGGGCGGGGGCGGGCGCGGGGGGGCCCGGGCGGAGGGGCGGCGTGTGCCTGGAGTCCTCCGAGAGAGAGCGAGTGCCATCAATAGCGACAGAACCGGCCCCTGGCCCAGGGACCGGGGACGGGTACGTGAGCTGTTTGCCTGGGTTGCCCTTAAGAGATTCCAAGTTCTAATACAAGAAGATGGTGGTGGGGTTTTTTTTGTTTGTTTTTGTTTTTTTTTTTAAATGTTAACTTCTTTCTCGAAACAGTCTTTAACATGGGAATTTTTAGAATTAAAGGCATTCTTCCATCACTTTTGTATGGTTTTTTACATCATCTGCTCTGATTTGATGTGTTTGGGTTCTGAAGGTTTTTTCTTTGTCAGTGATGAAAGTATTAGCAGATTTGATCCGGTTCCCTACATCCACAATAGTGGTAGCCATAAATGCTACCAACTAACAGTTTTAAAGCACTTTAAAAGACACAAATTTTAGAGGAAATATCTTACTAATAGAACAGACCTTATGTCTGGCTATTCCAAAGGGCATATCAATCCCTAGTTTTGTCACAATCCTGTGTCTTAACATTTTGTGAAGTATGTCAGCCTGCCTCTCCAGAGGCTAAGAAAGACTGTGTGGGTATGCAAGTTGTTTCACTGATGTCAGAGTAATAATTGGAATATCTGTCCCAGTGATGGATTTCTAGTAATGTGGGTAGATTGGTGTGCTTTGTTAGTTGATGGTGACCAGCTGGGGGTTGAAAAACTGCTTGTGTGTCTTTCTCCCTTAGATATCAGGGACACTGTGAAGTACAAAGAAGTCATGAAACAGTATCCTTTTTTTGTCTAAGTAATGATATTTGAAATGTCAAGTTTTGTGAAAATATCCTGTCACATGCACACTGTGATGAATCACAGAATCTGCCGAATTGGAAGGGACCCACAAGAATCATGGAGTCCAACTCCGGGCCCTGCACAGGACCATCCCACGAGGTGGGGGGGTTGTAGTAATGCAGAATGTTGTGTGAGGATCAGAAGGTTTTGACTATGTATTTCTTGCATGTGACATTAGGAACGTGTGTTCTACAAGATTTAATACTCCTTGGGTCACTTTCTCCTGTGCTAAAAATTATTCTGCCTAACAGTAAGTTTTTACAGATAATAGGTACTCTGCCCACATATTTTTTCTTTTTTTCCCTTTTTTTTTTCTTTTTTTGTTCTTTCAGAGAACTTGTATTGTTTATTTTTTTGTGGAAGCCAGCAGCCTTTTCCCATGTTTTAACTAGTCTCATTTTATATGTTATAAGCAAATATGGACATTCCTGTTTGCCTGTAGTAGATGGGGAAAACTATTTCCACATTCTCTGACCATAATCAAAGCACTGTTGTCTCTCTGAATCTCAGGGACATTGGAACATTGGCTCTTGTTCACAGAGGGTCGATGACTGTAGTGCAGTAACATTACACTAAAGCGACTGCGCTTCCAGAGGGCTGTGGAGCTCCTTGGTCTCCTAAGTAATAGCTTGAGCACATGGAGACAAAACGCAGTCCTTGGATTTGACTTACAAGTATGACTCTTAAATTTAGTATTTTAGACAAGAATAAAGGTGGTGGGGAATAGGATTCTTGATTTTGGCTGTTATTTGTTTTGGGGTTACCAGCAAAACATCCTAAATATAAGTTTCAAATTGATATGTAGGTGCATTATTCGTTTCACTGTGTCTGTTAACCATTCCTGGAGTTTTGGTATTTCATTAAATCGGGCCTAAGGAGGGTGTCTGGCCTCATGTCTGGGTATTGAGAGTAGTGATTGATAACACAGTGTGTACAGATGAGTCAGTGCTGGTTCTTGCACAGTTGAACCAAAAATGTCAAGAGGAAACCCTGCAGCCCCTTTTCCTTCTGTGAATTACACCTATTTGGGTAAGAAAGAGACACTTTGTATTTGTTATGCTGCTGCATCACTTAGAAGATTTAATCATTTATTAGGGGGTATTGTCTCTTGTTTCAAGGTATCCAGTGTGCATTGCACATGGCCAGGTGTTGTCAGAGTTGAAAAAGAAGCTCTCTGGGGTCTGCATAACCATCTGCTTTCCTAAATGAAGCATCAGATATGGGCTAGGCCCAAATGGTGGAATAGTGACCTCTCTCAATCTCTTTGCTACAAGATTTGACCAGGTACCAGGTTGTTTCTGTGTGCTGTTCCTGTGATCTGTGCTGGGTGCCTACGATGACTGTGGTTTTGTCTGTCTGAAGTCTCAGAGGGCACTGTGTTTGGTTAACCTTCTAATATTTCTGGGGAGTTGTTCTCCCTACAGAACCCTGCATCTAACAATGCAGTCAGAGTACATTAGCTTTCATTTGAGAGATTTCAGTTTTTCACCTTTTTCTTTAAAGTAAAATTTAGCAGCCACATGTACAGAACATTTTTTGTCTTTGTATAGGACTGTTGTTGCACCATGTTCACTATAAAATCTTTCATATGAATGCTCTGGTTTTGAAGTAGGGAAGGTCACTTCTGGAAACAGGTTAAGTTTTCCTGATTTCAGTTTGATAATTGACAGCCCTCCTAAATCATAACACTAAAGCAGCTCTGGGGTGGGGACTGATGTCACATACCTAGACAATCTCTTAGTGAAAAGGCAAGAACAACTGCAGTTGTTGTACCATTTCTTTAGCAGGTCCTAGAACACAGACAAAATCAAGGTTGTCTTTGACCTATGCAGGGTCTGAGCATTTGTCAGCCTTCCTTGGTAGGGTACACTCTGAAAAGCTTAAAGACTTTAACGTTTTGACACACACCTGCAGCTGTGCAAATTAATGTAGTTTCTTTTATGAAATGAAGATGAAGGTTTCCTGTTGTGAGCCTAAATACCAAGTATACTCTGCTTTTTCAATCAGGTGATGAAGTTTATTGAAAAAAGACAGAATGCGTCGAGGTGAGTACATCCTACCGAGTTCTGCTTTTCTGGGATCAGTTTGGGAAAATCATGGGAAATTCTAGAAAGCTTCTCTCCGTGTTTTCTAGTTGTTTTTTCAGCCTTGGTCTAAGTTTCATGTAGAAAAGGGCATAGAATTAGAACAGATAAACTAGACTTTCTTGGGAGAGATGGAAGAAGAGTCTGCTGATTACAGTTCTGCTTTTCTTGTCTTCCCTTAGACTGTCATTTTCTCTCACTTACTGTTCAAAGAGGCAGCAATTAATTCTTCTTCTGAAGAGTTTGCTGTACTAAGTGTCTGTCACATTGATGCCTTCAGCTCAAGATAGCCCATACTTCTTAGTTACAAATTTCTCACAGGAAATTTTCAGGCGTGCCCCTAAATCTCATCACTGTTTGTTTGGGAGAAGAGGGTTTTCTCCTCTGTGACAGAACAGTCATGTCATTTGCTATGGAATGCTGGTGGTAATCTAGTCAGAAGAGGACCCTGTGCTTCACTAATTTTCCCTTTTTGTTGTTGGGGGTGACTTCTTACCAGGTATGTTATTATTGACACACCAGGGCAAATTGAGGTATTCACCTGGTCAGCATCAGGAACCATCATAACTGAGGCCTTGGTAAGTGCTTTTTGTGTGACTGGCCAGTGAAGCTGTGTGTGAGAATGACCTGGGTATTGCTCAGTGTACTCCTCATTAAACTGTCTTTTGCTCTGTGTTCCCAGGCTTCCTCTTTTCCTTCGGTTGTTGTATATGTGATGGACACCTCTCGCAGTACTAACCCTATCACTTTTATGTCCAACATGCTGTATGCCTGCAGGTAAGAAAAGCTGGAAGTGCAGTCCATCTGCTTTGATTGCTGTGTCTCTTTGGTAGTTATTTTGGAGGGGAATCATAGAGTGATTTGGTTTGAAAGGGACCTTTACAGACCACCCTCTCTTCCATGGGCAGGGACACCTTCCACTATGCCAGGTTGCTCCAAGTCCCACCCAGCCTGGCCTGGAACACTTGGGGCAGCCTCAGCTTCCCTGTGCAATGTGCTCAATTATCTCTCCACTGTCATCATGAAAAATTTTGTCAGTATGTCCCTTTCAGTTGAAAATTATCCCTTATCCTATCACTACAAGCCTTGGTAAAAAGGTCTCTCCATTTTTCTTATAAATCCCTTTATTTACTGGAAAGCTGCAGTAAAACTTCCCTGACGTCTTCTCCAGGCAGAACAACCCCAACTCTCTGGCCTGTGTCCATAGGAGAGGCCTTCTAGTTCTCTGCTGGTTTTGGTGACCTCCTCTGGGCCCCCTCTGCCAGGTCCATAGCTGCCGTGGTTCCCAGAGGTGGCCGCAGTGCTCCGGGTGGGATGAGAGCGGAGAACAAAGGGAGAATCGTCCTCCTCGCCCTGCTGCCCAAACGCTGGTTTGGATGCAGCCCAGGGGATGGTTGGATTTGTGCTTGGGATGCACTTGGGTGCCTCCTATCCACTTAGTCTGCTGGTTTGGTTATTCTCGGTGGTTTTCCCATTGGATAAGCAGAATAATTTAGGTGCCAATGGACATCTGGAGGTCATGGGGTCAAAACTTCCACTGAAAGCATTAAATAATCCATGAGACCTTGGCGTGAGGAAGGCTGGTTATATTAGATCTAACACATTGCCTATTGCTTATAGACCCAGTTATCTAAGGTGAATCAAGGTAGGCTAGTTAAGCTCCTTCTTGTAAATACAGAGTATTTTATTCTGGTTTTTAATGTTGTTGATACTTTTAAGAGATTCTTCAAGATTTGTGTGGAGTTCAGCATAGCATGGAGCTCTTGATTTATTGTCTTCTTCTTCATACATGAATTTATCTGTTGTCTTTCATGTCATCCCAGAGACTAAATACCTGTGGAACCATCAACATAGCTAGAGCTGTCATAATTCATGGTAAATGTTGGTAAAAGGTTTTCAAAAAACCTCTCAGTCCTTGTACCAAGGTCAAGAGTTATATCACCACGATAGGAGTGTGCAAACTGTATCTTACTACATATTGTGTTTTCTGACATCAGTTTGAGCAAAAGATCATAGAATATATACACCAAAAAGAATATGTCAGCTCACATGTCAAGGTAATTTTGCTTTATAGATGTTCTGTGTTATTTGAATTCATTGCTCAGTTCACAAATAATCTCTCAGAACCTAAGGTTTGAGTCAAATGCAAAATGCACAGAGTTAAAAACTGGGATCTGAGCGTCATAGAAAATGGTGACCAAACTCGAGTGGGTGTGTAGGAGATTTTATTTCTTACATCTTGGAGGAGCATATTTTGTTCAATGATTGTAAGCAGGACCTGGGTGAAAATTACATTCTATTAGGTGCAGAGGAAAATAATTATCTTTTGAAGTCAAATGTATTCAGTTTTGCACAAGTCTCGTCTGCCTTATGTTTAAATTGCTTTCTATTCTAGGAAGTTTTAAATTAAACTTTTATTTTGTGTCTCCCCTACAGTATCCTGTACAAGACAAAGCTCCCTTTCATTGTAGTCATGAACAAAGTAAGTTAAAGCTCTGGTTTCTATGTCCTCATGGGACATTGTTCTGTTCAGCTTCTTTGCTGTGGTGTCTTTGTCTTACCATAATAATAGATTTTTGTAGAAAAGAGAGGCTGGGAGGGAGCTGCAGGCTGATAACCAAATCTAAAAAGGGTCTTTAATCTGGTGTCCAAATGCACAAGAATAATCAGGGATGGCAGTTGCACCCAAATATTCAAGTCGGAGAAGGTGCTGACAATCTGAAACATGTTTTGCACCTTAAGCCTGGATGAAAGGGAAACGTAACTGTAAAAAAAGGGTAAGGTGATGGCAGAATCTGTGCTTACACACCCTGTTTTCCCAGAATATCTGTCTTCATTAATAATGATTTCCCCTCAGCAGCAGGCTAATGACTTGCAGTGGCAATGGTGTAACCCCTGCAATGGTGTAACCCCTGCCTGTTTGGACTGAGGAGTCCCACCTGTTGTAGCAGGCAAAACTTAGAGAAGATGTTTGGTGCAGTATTTGCTAGAGAGCAGATACTCACTAGTCTAAGAATACACATCCACTGTTGTGGAAGGAACTTGTAGCCTTAACAACTATATCTTTAAACATGATAATTTCAGATAGTAAAAGAATCCCGTTAGATTTTTGGTGTGAGTAACTGCTCTCCACAGGCATCCTTTGTGTTTGCATCCCCAGCTCAGCAAGCTCTGTGTGTGCACACACATGTGCCGTGCTTTGACTGGGATATTTTCCCTCCCAGCAGCCCAGTAGGATTAGTGTCTGCTGTGCTCCAACCCCACCCATCTGCCCTGTGACCCAAACCATGCATAGCTTTGGGATCTGCTTGCTTCCTGAGCAACTTTTTGTACACTGTTTTCTTTCTGACACTAGACAGTAATATAAGAATAAGCTTTCTAGCTTTTGATTTCTGTAGAAAAAGGCATGAGGTAGGAAAATAAGTCTCTCTTAAGAAAATACACTTTTTGAAAGACTAAAAGAAGTGGCACCGTGTGTGTAAAGAAAGGTGGGCCTGAGGCTTAGGATTCATCACTTTAAACTTCATTTTGATCTCGTGTTTAGCTTTTGCTGAAAAGTAAAGCCAATAGCATTGGAAGGATTTTTAACAAAATTTAATTAAATTTAATTTTTTAAAATTGACTCTTGATAAGAATGGAAGAATCCCAGGGAACTGGGATATATGTGCAGTGACAAACCCATAGATGTAAAGAATTTTAAGATTTGGAGAGGGAGAAAAGTAATTTGTGGAGGTGATTTAAATTTATTTACAGAATTTAGTCAAGGTAACTCTAAGTAGTCAGGCTTTGACCCTTGGTGGATTCAGTTCCATCTCAAATCTCTTGAGTAATGCCAGGTAATACTTTATCTGTCTTCCTCCTTCCCATTGGTGAGGGGAATGAAATATATCAGTTTTAGGCACCTCATGTTGTGCGAAGAGTGGATATGCATGTGGCAAGATGTTTGTGAAACTCTGTAATACACTGTTTTCATATGAATCCATGTAAAACCGTGGAACCATCTCACCTGTTTGTGTCAGTTGTCTTGCACTGAGTTTAGTTCATAACTTCTTTGGGCCAGAGCACAGCTCACCTTCATAAAGATCCCGTGGGGTTCCCCAGATGGAAGTGGCCCTCGCTCCCCCGGCAGTCAGGAAAGCTGGGGATCTTCAGTGAGGGTTGTTCTTTCTGGCCTCAATCCTATGATCTACTATTTACACCTTAAACTTCATTGTGCAGCGTGCAATTGCTGGATGCCCCTTTCCAGTAAAAGCACAGGAGGCTTTAGAGTTGCAATTGTTTCCTTAAACAACTGTTGCCTTCCTAAACCTGGAGAAGTGGTTGTTTGTCTTCTCTTCCTGTATTCACGTAGTTGATTTGATAAAAAGTGAACTTGCAAAACTTCAGACCAGGGCTGAATATTTTTAAAAGATCAACATTTTAAAAATAAATTTAACATGGATTTTTTTCATTGGTCCACTTAACAGCCTAAGGGTAAGATTGTTACTTCTGAATATTTTCCCTTCTCCTTCCAGACTGACATAATTGACCACAGTTTTGCAGTGGAATGGATGCAGGACTTCGAGACTTTTCAGGATGCCCTGAATCAAGAGACCTCCTATGTCAGTAGCCTGACTCGTTCTATGAGTTTGGTGTTGGATGAATTTTACAGTTCACTGAAGGTAAAGGTTTTCCTTTTTTTATTACCTCTCCTAAAAGCCTGGAGAAGAGCAAGTTCAAGGAGAATTGTTTTGATGTGTGTAAATGCCTGTAGGAGGGTGTAAGGAAGGCGAGCAGCAGACTCTGTTCACTGGTGCATGGGGAGAGGACAAGAGACAACAGACATAAGGTGAAATACAGGAAACTATGTTTAAACAGAAGAGGAAAAAAATTAATTTTACTAATTCTGCACTGCAACAGATGGTCCAGAGAAATTGTGGAGTCTCCATCCTTGGAGATGCTTAAAACACTTTTGCTCAGGCAAAGTCGTGAGCAACCTGTTCTACCTAATCCTGCTTTTTGAGCAGGAGAGATTGGACTAGATGATCTCCAGGGGTATTGTCCGACCCCCACCATTCTGTCCTTCTGTAAAGGGGCTTTGCACTGCCCCTTTGAACTGGAATCTGTTGATGACCTGTGTTGAGGATTTGCTGATTTGAACATGCAATAACTAGCAGCTTGTCCCACTGAATGGCAGCCTGAATAATTTAATATTGAACTGTGATTAATCACGAGATGAAAGCTAAGATAGGCTGGTAAGAGGCAGTGTTCTTTGCTGCAGCATTTCCCACCTGAGGTAATTTTCCTTGTTCTGAAAATGTCAAGTACAGTTGGGCAATGTACTACATAGGAAGAAGGGAAAGAATCTCAAAACCAAATAAATGAACAAAAAAACCCTTTACATTTTCTTGTGCAAGAAGAATATTGTTTCTCTGACAACACTATACATTGGAGGCTGTTAATGATCCCATAGTCTGTGCTACAGGTTTTAGCTGATTGTGTTTGTCATCAGCTTTTACTAAAGAAAAAGCAAGCCTTCTTGGCTGTGTGGATATTACAGGAACAAAATGATTCCATTCATGTAGATAATGATAACAGAGCCAAAACAAAAATATTGTAAGTGCCCTATGTGGAACAATATACAGAATTTCAAAAGGGATTGTAGTGGTCCCATGTACAGAACTAACATACTTCCTGTTCCTTATTTGCTGCTCAGGTCATATTTATGTGCCTGTCAGAACTGTGAGAGCACTGGATGGAGAGCAGGTCATATGAGGAGGATGACAGAGTAAAAGGCAGCTTGTACTTAAGTGCAGGGAAAGTATGAATATTTATATATATTGGCACAGTGCCTCGCCCTAATGCTTAAAATC